GATTAAACTGGGTTCTCAAGTGTGACCGCGCAAAAAATAACGTCATCGAGTATTTCTTTCTCCATTTTATTTGACTAAATTCCAGCTCTGAGAATTAAAAATATTGGTTCGACTGTTGTGCGACGAACATTACTCTGTGGTAGGGTGGTTGGAAGCCGGTGAGCTGCGAGTATTTGAATGTTATTCCCTCGTCTGAGGGTTTTCTGCAGCTACAGTAGTTCCTTGGTTAACAGTGACATCGGTTAATGGTTTTTCAGCTAATGCTTCACCTCCCATAGAACCCCATGGTTTAGACTAATGTTAATATATTAACGGTATGTTTACGTTATGCACGCGGGAGCCAATTTAGGCCAATCGGAGCACTTGTAAGTGGGGCTGAGCCATGCCCTCAGCCAATGAGATATGCCCATTTATGAGCGTTTAGACCTCGACTGGCTTTGTTAACATTACGTTTTCTGTTTTGGCAGTGGAAACAGCTCTCTTGCAGCTTCAGTGATTTTTACTTATTTTTCAACTTATAAGTGAATTCGATTAACAGTTATTTTGGTTAACAATAGTTTTCGTGGAGCCGATTAAAAACGTTAACCGAGGCACTACTGTAATGTTTTCCTTCTGCGTGCAAAATACAAAAAGGAATAGGCAAAAAAATTCCAATGCAGCACCCTTCTTTTGCTTCCTGCTGCCATCACAACCCATCAAAACAGTGGCCACGTCCACTAAGATGGTCACAGTTAAAGCACATCTTGGTTCAGAGAAAGTAATACCAACGTGTACTCACTTGGTGTAAACGCAAATCTGTGCTTGCACAGCTCGCAATATTCCTTCTTGCTGTGCTTCAGCCATTGTAGCAAACTGTGGACACCAGTGAAATTGAACTCAATGAACACAGCAATTTGAACATTCTCTTCTAAACACAAAGGCAATCATTTGCAATGATTCTGCATCGGCTGTACATCACATTCATCCTCAAAAGAGTTTATTTAGCAGTAATAACGGGACTTTCCCAGACGCACCACCATACCAAGTCACAAGGAGTGTGGCGTCACTGCCTTGGCTGAAAAGGCTTATTTATGTCATGTTTGTTTTGATTGCAAATTTTTTGGCAATACTTTTATAAATGTGTCTGGTTTTCTATAGAGACAGTCTCTCATTACAATACAGATTTATATGAACATTTAATTGATGAGCGTTATCGTGTACCCCTTACGCTACACATTAACAGACGGACAGAGCTAATGTATTCATCTTTTCGACCTTAGTTGGATAAAGTTAAACATTAATAACCAGTATATAACAAGCGTCAGCAAAACTCTTGCTGAGAATATGATGAGGCACTAAATAATTGGCCCGATGACAGTTCCATCCATCTCCGGGTTCCGAGGTGGACGATCAGCAAATGCGAGCACATGCTCTCGGCACAATCTCTCGAGATGTTCCCCGTGCCAAGCTGGTTCCACTCCTCGTATCACTGCAGCGAATCAGACGTTAAGAAGGGCAGGGTTCACGCAAGGCTGCAGACGCACCAGTCCTGATGGATGTACTTGATGCTGCCCGTGCACACGCACGGGTGGTAGAGCGGCTTCTCGGCGGTGCCTTCCGACCGGCACACCCGGCAGATGTCGCCTGTCAGCGGACACAGCGAGAGGGCGGCAGCGGTGAGCGCGGTCACCATGGGCCGAGCGTCCACCCCCACTCGTCAACACTGCCTCTCGCTAATGTGCCGCTGTATTTACGCCCCAAATAAGCACGCGGCATTGACGGGCACGACCAATACGTGCCAGCGCCCTTCAGGAATCACAATCCACGCATCCAGCGCAGGCAGGGACCATGACGCGTACACACTTGGCAAAGGGGTCTCACAATGCGCTTGTATCCGTCACAGGGATGACAAGGCACACTTCATGAACGGGGTCAAAACACAGACGTGCAGAAGCCGCACTTCCTCACTGTCAAGGGCTGCACAAAGTGGCACGAGTAGCAGCAGCAGTAGAAACCATTGCAATAGGAGTCACAGGAGCAGTATCGTATCAACATCCACGAGGGCTTTAACATAACGCTGACATCCAGAGGCTGCACTGCCTTACTATACGTATGCACGCAATAAAGCAGCAGCATCGGCTTTCGTGATAGTAGCAGCATCAGTATCTATACAGTACATACATTATTGTTCAAAAACAACTACAGATCCACAGGCTACACCCCTCACTGCCAGAGGCTGTGAACGAACGAGGTTGAGGCTGAGGCCAAGGCTTGAATCACCCTGACCCCCCCTCACCCACTGACCCCCCCTCACCCACTGACCCCCCCTCACCCACTGACCCCCCTCACCCTGACTCCCCCTCACCCACTGACTCCCCCTCACCCACTGACCCCCCCTCACCCACTGACCCCCCCTCACCCATTGACCCCCCCTCACTCACTGACGACCCCCCCCCCTCACCCACTGACCCCCCCTCACCCTGACCCCCCCTCACCCTGACCACCCCTCACCCACTGACCCCCCCTCACCCTGACCCCCCCTCACCCACTGACCCCCCCTCACCCACTGACCCCCCCTCACCCATTGACCCCCCCTCACTCACTGACGACCCCCCCCCTCACCCACTGACCCCCCCTCACCCTGACCCCCCCTCACCCACTGACCCCCCCTCACCCACTGACCCCCCCCTCACCCACTGACCCCCCCTCACCCTGACCACCCCTCACCCACTGACCCCCCCTCACCCTGACCCCCCCTCACCCACTGACTCCCCCTCACCCACTGACCCCCCCTCACCCACTGACACCCCCTCACCCATTGACCCCCCTCACTCACTGACGACCCCCCCCCCTCACCCACTGACCCCCCCTCACCCACTGACCCCCCCTCACCCACTGACCCCCCCCCTCACCCACTGACCCCCCTCACCCTGACCCCCCCCTCACCCACTGACCCCCCCTCACCCACTGACCCCCCCCCTCACCCACTGACCCCCCTCACCCTGACCCCCCCCCTCACCCACTGACCCCCCCCTCACCCTGACCACCCCTCACCCACTGACCCCCCCTCACCCTGACCCCCCCTCACCCACTGACCCCCCCCTCACCCACTGACCATCCCCCTCTCACCCACTGACCCCCCCTCACCCTGACCCCCCCTCACCCACTGATCCCCCCCTCCCACTGACCCCCCCTCACCCACTGACCCCCCCCCTCCCACTGACCCCCCCTCACCCACTGACCCCCTCCCCTCCCACTGACCCCCCCCCTCACCCTGGCCCCCCCCTCACCCTGACCCCCCCTCACCCACTGATCCCCCCCCTCACCCACTGATCCCCCCCCTCACCCTGACCCCCCCTCACCCACTGACCCCCCCCTCACCCACTGATCCCCCCCCTCACCCACTGACCCCTCCCACTGACCCAACCTCTCGGGAGGTATTTCCCCGTCTTGGGGTGCTTTTTGAACCTGCGCAGTGAGACTCCAATTTGTAGACGACGACCCTCGGCCCAGACCCATAACCTAACTAGAAGCCGAGTGACCCGAGACTCGACCCCGAACTCTAACCCGACCAAAGCCCTGTGACCTCGTAATACAACCCTAACCCCAAGCCTCGTGACCTCGGAATGAACCCATAACCCCAAGCCCTGGTGACCTGAGGCAGGTTGCACCCTGCCTGCCGGCTCACAGGACATTCTGACCCCTGTCTCTGTGCGGGGTCGCATCAAACGCCTCGCTTCGACGTCTCCGGCGGGATGGGTTAGCCAACATTTGCTTAAAGGCCCCCGACTCCATGACCGAACAACCCCTTATCCTTGACCCCCAAGCCCGGACAACATATCCGTAGCGCTGACCACTATCCCAGAGCCCGACAACATCAGCCTCCTAATCCCTGACCCCATCACCTTTCACTCTGACACCCGCCCCAACACAAACCCCACCAACCCCAACATCACTCCCGTCCCGGGCCCTCGTGCCCCGCGCTCCCTCCCCTCTTTCCTGCCTCGTTCCCACGGGCGCACGCTCGCCGTGGGCAGGGGGGGGAGACCGAGCGGAGAGAGGGCTCCTATTCCCGGCTTCACCGTCGTCTGCGAGGGCCTCCATATCCTCGCGCTTTCTCCTATTCTGTCAGCGCCGCGGCAGCATGGTTCGCGACTCCCTGCGAGCCCCTGCAGACCCCCGTGGGTCCCCTCGATGCCGCCCCGGTCGTATCGCCGAGCGCGGCTCTCGCTGAGGCTGGATGCGATGCGAGCCTCCGGTTCTTGGGTTCACCTCGGCACGCGCGGGGGTGCACGGAGACGCGAGTCGCCCCCTCCCAGTGGCCGAGGTCGGTATTGGGATCCACGACCACGCGTCCCGGACACGGTCCATGCCAATCCACGGCTGGATGAGGGCATCCCCACGCCTGACATCATCAATTGTTATCATGAATCACACACGAGTCAGTGCCGGATTATCCTATCAAGGGCCCCGCACTATCATCAAGGGCCCCGCACTATCATCAAGGGCCCCGCACTATCATCAAGGGCCCCGCACTATCATCAAGGGCCCCGCACTATCATCAAGGGCCCCGCACTATCATCAAGGGCCCCGCACTATCATCAAGGGCCCCGCACTATCATCAAGGGCCCCGCACTATCATCAAGGGCCCCGCACTATCATCAAGGGCCCCGCACTAGAACGCTTTCAAGCTATCAATTCCCGTTCAGTGATTCTGCACTTGCTCTATTGCTGTAGTACTATACTGCCTTCAACTTTTATTAACGACTGGGTGTTGAGGTTACCGATTTGTCGTATTATCTGGCTGTGCAGAAAATTAAAAAAATACAATTACTTTACTATGCAAATTAACGTGTTTTTTGTTCTAATTTAGGGCCCCTTCATAACATATGCTACAGGCCCCGCACTAGCTTAATCCGGCACCGACACGTGTATCATGAATCACGTTATCACGCCAATGTTCCTCCGATTAGCACGGTGGGCTACGTATGGTGCAAAATAAGTTCAACATACATCCAACATAATCATCAGTTCCTCATTTTTATTCCTTCATCAATCATCCAGCATCATCAGTAATCACTCATCGTAAATGAAACATCAAAACAAGCATCATTATAATCAATCGTTCAAAAATTTCAAGTCATAAATCAACAATTACACATCATACATCACTCGTCATGCATCATGACAATACAAATGGTTGTCATAACATATCATGAAGCCCACATTCCTCAAGTGGTGAGCAACACGAGACATCCACTGGCCACCTCCCACGTGCTGACGCCGCCCTTGGCTGGTACGAATGCGTCTATTTACAGACTACAGACTTCTACCGTAACGTCTTTTCATTGAGTTTTCAATCTTTAAAAGTGCTTCTGGGTTCCCCATATAAAGAGGACCAACGATGGGAACCCCACTGGAAAAAAATAGAAAGGCCTCGGGTCTTTAAATACAGGTGCATGCTGATGCTAGGAATTACATGGCAGGTCACAGTAAGTATATTTTAATTTCAGAATCTCACAATACATGATTACCAAGGGGAAGTAGAAATGTATGGGGCACACGTATTACAGACGGGAGGTTACGCAAACGGGCATTGGAGTGACACTCAGAGGTTGGCGACCAAGGGGAAGACCAAAATTCAGATGATGTGATACTCAAGGAGAAATCCATTGGAGGTTAGGTTTAAAATGTGCAACAGCCGAGAGAATGAGTGCGGAGGCATCAGTGGCTACGGGGACAATGACCTCTTGACCTTGGTAGAGGGGTGTGTACATCTGGATGCACCAGAAAGTTGTTTCCATTAAGTCTCTATTTGACTGTTTTCAAGATTTAATATTTGTAAAATATTTAATTCCCCTTTGCTGCAATCGTTTTACAATAATTTCTATACAGTAATTTAAAACTGCATTTTTTATGTAAAACATAGCAATAGATCTTTGCACTGAACATCTGCACACGTATTTTGAATTGCACATTACAGAGGTGATGATGCAGTGGTGTAGTGTGGTTGGCATGGGCCTTGGTGCAAGGAATCAAATGTGACAGCACCCTGTGCAATTTCCTTCCTCTTCGTAGTCCAAGTGCCTGGGCCCGAAAGCAGTTGAACCACGTGCACACTCGACAGCGGATGCCTAGGAACCAAGCAGAGCCAGAGACGGGTCTGTTGACTCTCCCAACGCGTCCGATGTCAGTCAGGATATTGATAACATGTCACTACCGTATCGTCTACACGCGCCCCCTGTCATGGAGTGTGACTTCAGCGGCACGGCTTGGCTTTTGGAGTTTAAAAACAACCTGGTGCCTCCTGAGCCATGCTCAACATAGCTTCAGAGCGACACGGTTGTACAGTGGAAAAGAGCTATTATTGACGTTTGTGGTTCTTGTCCCCATCTCGCGCCACCACCCCGGGATTCGCTCCAAGTCCGACCCCTGGTGCCATCCCCGGCGGTGGCCCCGGCGAGGTCCTCGCCATGGGCCCCGGCATCGTTCTCTGCGTGGCCACGGGCGCCGCCCGCTTCGTCCCCTCCGGCTTGGCCGAGTGCAGCAGCGCGAGACCGGCCATCGTGAGTGACATTCCGAGCCACCACAGCCCGGCCAGAGGCTCTCCAAACAACACGCTCCCCAGTACGGCCTGCACAAACACGGTACGCAGCGTTAAACACAGTTACGTAAACCAAGTGGTATAAACAGAATTTTACACGTATGCAATGTCCTTTTGTTACTCCACTGGTGGATGAGCACCCCCCCCCCCCCCCCCCCCATGCTTGTACAGTTTGTTAAAGTTACTCAGGCAGACTTTACCATGCTGCCGAGCAAACAATTCTTGCTTTGAAAGCGGTACGTGGTAAAAAGGTTTAAAAATCGGTAGCCTGACGAAGTCGGTAGGGTCGGTAGGGACGTGATTCCAAGTGGTCCCCTTTTGTTACCAAGTACAGGGAATGCCTTCGGCCACTCACGGAGCAGAGGAAGTTGGAGGCCGTGCTGGTGAGCGTGGCCTGTACACTCGAGGAGGAGAACTGCAGGGCCTTCACGAACAGGGTCCACATTGCAGCGTTGAGAAGCAGAGTGATGCCAAACGTGACGGCCCTCACCAGCAGGGCCACCTGCACGCGCAGAGGCACGCCACCTGCTCAGAGCCTGCCCGTGCCCGAGGAGCAGGGGGCCCACGCAAGGCCACGCACACGCTCAAGGCCACGCACAGCGGGGATGCCAAGCGCTCCGATGGCAAGTGTCGCCCGCTGAATGTTCGTCTTCACCCCCAGACGGCACCGATGTCAAGAGGATGGAACAAATTACCTCGCTCACCCTGTGAGTTGAGAAAACGCAGTCATATTCAGAGAGACCGGCTGCGTGATTCGTAACGCACACGGCGGGCTCAAAAAAGTAATTCGCACGTCCTTATTAAAACCGACTGGAATTTGAGGATTTTTTTTCAACTCCCGCACAGGGATGAGAAGAAATTATGGAACGAGCTTAACGCTTATAAATAAAAACAGTCGCCGTCTGGTCGCATACAACACCTTGCCGGCTTTTTTGTAACCTTGTGCTGCTTGCAAATGACACAAACTGCGCTTCCAATGTGGTCCTATGCTTGAATGAGAACGGCCGCTTTGTTTATTTAAATTAAGTGACGCGCAAAACGGACCCACTCGCGATTTACATCTCCGAATACTGCACAGGTAGGGTACATGCCACCCGCGGCCTGGGAAAGGTGAGCAGGCCAAGGAGACCGCAGGTCTCGCCCAGGAGGCGACCAGACCTCACCGAGGAGCAGGTCAGCGCGCTGTCCGCCAGGCCCAACCCAGCGCCCAGGCGCAGGCAGGCGGCGTGGAGAAGCTCGGCCCCGACCGCCAACTTGGCCGAGGCGGAGGCCAGGGCCCCGCACAGGCCCGCGCCGCCCGCCAGGACGCTCGCCTTCCGCATGTCCGGGCCGGGCCGCGGCCTCCCCGAGACCGGGGGCGGCAGCAGCAGCGCCTCGTCTTCCACCTCGGGAGTCAGGGCGGACCTCGGGGTGATGAGGAGAGGAGGGCTGCGGAGCCGGTCACTGCCAGCGCGCTCCGTCGATCGTAACGAGAGACATCAAGCACGGCTCGAGCGGAACGTCGCCCATGGAAACATCAGCAATTCGGCGGAGGTGAGCTTCGCTTCCTTGTTCCGTGACCCCCACCATGAGCCGAGGTTTGACAGTCGCCGCCCTCCCCTCCACGGCCACAAGAGGGCGCTGTTGCCCAACGTTTGACTTTACTTCTACGACGTCAAAGCCGTGATAAAGCGAGGAGCGGTGGCACAGTGGTTAGCGCACTACGATGTGATCCCGGCGAGACTAGTTCGATTCCTGGCCACAGATAACCGGTCCTGGGGTTTTTTGTGAATTGTCCAGCGTGTTAAAGAATGGTCAAACCACCTGTACCAATACGGCGTGGAGAGGCATTCATCCAGAAGTGGATTTATTTTTTTATTTAAAGCTTTCGTGACTGCAGTGATTCATATTCTTGGTTCTTTCGGTAAAGTCACGTTGAAGGAAAACAATAAAATAATAAAATATATATTAAACAATAAAATTCTCACGACGTTTCGACTGCAACACAAGCAGTCATCATCAGGTGTGAAAAGCAACGTCAAGAAACATTGAAAGAAGTGGCGGTTTGTATTTATTTTTAAACGTTAGCGCCACGGAGAGCGATTTGACAGTTTGTTTAGAAGGACGAGTCCATCTCTGTTCGGAAAAGAGGAGGGGGGAGACGAAAAATTAATGTATGCTGTCTGAAAGCCACCGTAAGCGTGAACAATCAATTAAGACCCGAAATAGTTTATAAAAACCTTCCAATGATTGCTAAGCCAGAATCCATCTTCTCGGTTGAAATTGTCTCTGTGTTTGTATATGTATATGTGGATAGCCTCATGAACGAATTTCTCATGGTAGCCAGATGGCTTGCAAAGAACCTCTGTCTTGGAGAAGTCAATGTCATGTGAGCCTACTCAATTGCAACAGTGATCTGCCACGGCCGAGGTATTGGTCCTACCGTGTTTAAGGTCTGCTTTGTGTTCATGAATACGGTCCGAGACATGTCGTTTGGTTTCTCCAATGTAACTACTACCACAGAGGCAACTTAGTTTGTAGACACCAGGGTACTGTATGTCCGGAATCACATCTTTTACAGACGGAACCAGATCACGGATTTTATGTATTGTTATGACATCCAAAAAAAAGAGACCTGATGGTTCAATGAGCCACTCTGTCTATAGGAAAGCAACCCATACGGATGCTTATCTGAAACCGGATTCCCACCACCATCCATCACAGAAGAATTATCTCATCAAGACTCTGCACCATAGAGCCCAATGCATATCCGACCAGGAACACATAGGCAGTGAACTCAAGCACGTACACCAAGCTCTTAAGGCTAATGGTTACTCCGACTATACAATCCGCAAAGCTATCACTCAAACCATGAAGAAGGACCCTCTTGAGGAGCCTTTCAAAACCATCAGTTTACTGTTACAATTCAGTAGGCTCACATGACATTGACTTCTCCAAGAAAGAGGTTCTTTGCAAGCCATCTGGCTACCATGAGAGATTCGTTCATGAGGCTATCCACATATACAAACACAGAGACAATTTCAACCGAGAAGATGGATTCTGGCATAGCAATCATTGGAAGGATTTGATAAACCATTTCGGGTCTTAATTGATTGTTCACGCTTACGGTGGCTTTCAGACAGCATACATTAATTTTTCGTCTCCCCCCTCCTCTTTTCTGAACATAGATGGACTCGTCCATCTAAACAAACTGTCAAATCGCTATCCGTGGTGCTAACGTTTAAAAATAAATCAATACAAACCGCCACTTCTTTCAAATGTTCTTGCCGTTGGTTTTCACACCTGATGATGACTGCTTGTGTTGCAATCGAAACGTCGTGATAATTTTATTGTTTTATATATATTTTATTATTTTATTGTTTCCCTTCAACGTGACTTTACCGAAAGAACCAAGAATACAGAAGTGGATTGTTTGGTTCGAATGCGTTACTTTCAGAAAACTGAATTTGATCATCAAAAGCAGCAGTGCACCCGTTCATAGTTCATAGTTCCATTTATTTGGTATAGCCCTGTGAGCCATTCGGCTCTTGAATCGGGTGCAACCGCAACAAACAAAAAACAAAAACATGAACAAGAAAACATCTTAAAGTGACTATGTGACTGTACAAACAGAAAATCCAGGAAAAAAAACATCAAAATATTCCTGAAATAGCACCGTACACCAACGCTGTGTGCAAAAATCCCAGTGGGATGCAAGTCAAACAACAACCACAAGACCACTAAGATTAAGGCCATCAGTCTAACTCCGTACTACAATAAACAAAAAAATGGCCAAACCAAAAAACTTTTCGAAATCACCAAAATAAAACCACGGACCCTGACAGACAAAATGGAACAGTAGTTGGAGAGTGCACACAGAAAGATAGTGTACTGATACTGAAACGGGAAGAGGGTTACTGAACATAATCAAGGCACATACGGTACCATCTACTTTTAAGAGAAGTGGACTTGGGCACACTACCACGGAGAGAGACGCAAACTCCAACTATACAGACATCAGGGTCGGGATCGAACCCACGACCATCTGTACACCAGACGAGGTAGTTAACATCTCGCCACCGCAGTGCCCATGGAAGGATATGGATTCTTGCAACGCGGGAGCCTGAGGGATGGTGACGACGGCTTGGGACACAGCCTTCATCCAGCTGATTTTGAGGATGCTCAGGCTGGCCCTGGCTGGCAGTATAATCAACCAAACCACGGCACCCGGTAGGTCCCGTGTGGACAGGGAGGCTTGCTGTGTCATGAGTCAGTACGGGTATATCGGTCACCGCTGGTCGCCCTTACCCTTGCCAAGGCACAGACAGTCCGTCAGGGGCCTTTGTCCAGGGCTGAACAGCACACATCATGGACACATCACCACCAGCAGCGGCAACATATCAACATCGAATAGGTTTTACCCTTTCTGGCAATAAAACAGGTGTTAAGATTTCGACTGCAGGGATTCATATTCTTGGTTCTTTCGGTAAAGTCATGTAGAAGGGAAACAATAAAATAAATATAAAACATAAGGACGCTCGCTGTCTTTCCGACAGCTGTTTCTTCACCTGAGGACAGCTGCTTGCGTTGTGGCCGAAACGTCGTGAGAATTTTAATGTTTTTATTTTATTATTTCCCTTCTACGTGACTTTACGAAATAACCAAGAACATAGGTGTTAAGATGTTCAAACACCAAATATATACCTTTTCACCACAATTACGTGTGGTTACTGTAGACTTGATTCCTTGCAAAAGGTATCTATTTGGTGTTTGAACATCTTAACACCTACATTTTGATTTAAAGCTTTCGTGACTGCAGGGATTCATATTCTTGGTTCTTTCGGTAAAGTCACGTTGAAGGAAAACAATAAAATAGTAAAAATATTAAACAAAATTCTCACGACGTTTCGACTGCAACACAAGCAATCATCAGGTGTGAAAACCACAGCAAGAAATTTTGAAAAAGTGGCGGTTTTTTAAACGTTAGCACCACGGAGAGCGATTTGGCAGTTATGCAGATGGACGAGTCCATCTATATTCTTAGCTCTTTCGGTAAAGTCACGTTGAAGGGAAACAATAAAATAATAAAATACATATAAAACAATAAAAAATTCTCACGACGTATCGACCATAACCACAAACGGTCGTCATCAGGTGTGTCGGTTTGCATACATTTATTTATTTTTAAACGGTGTATTTATTTATAAAAAACCATCAGCGCCACGCGCAGCGATTTGTCAGTTTATTTAGAAGGATGAGTCCATCTATGTTCTGAAAAGAGGAGGGGGGAGACGAAAAATTAATGTATGCTGTCTGAAAGCCACTGTAAGCGTGAAACAATCAATTAAGACCTGAAATGGTTTATCAAATCTTTCCAATGATTGCTAAGCCAGAATCCATCTTCTCGGTTGAAATTGTCTCTGTGCTTGTATATGTGGATAGCCTCATGAACGAATCTCTCATCGTAGCCAGATGGCTTACAAAGAACCTCTGTCTTGGAAAAGTCAATGTCATGTGAGCCTACTGAATTATAACAATGATCTGCCACGGCCGAGGTGTTGGTCCTACCGTGTTTAAGGTCTGCTTTGTGTTCACGAATGCGGTTGTAGACAAACTAAGTTGCCTATGTGGTAGTAGTTACATTGGAGAAACCAAACGCCATGTCTCGGACCGCATTCGTGAACACAAACAGACCTTAAACACGGTACGACCAACACCTCGGCCGTGGCAGATCATTGTTATAATTCAGTAGGCTCACATGACATTGACTTTTCCAAGACAGAGGTTCTTTGTAAGCCATCTGGCTACCATGAGAGATTCGTTCATGAGGCTATACACATACACAAGCACAGAGACAATTTAAACCGAGACGATGGATTCTGGCTTAGCAATCATTGGAAAGATTTGATAAACCATTTCAGGTCTTAATTGATTGTTTCACGCTTACAGTGGCTTTCAGACAGCATACATAAATTTTTCGTCTCCCCCCTCCTCTTTTCAGAACATAGATGGACTCATCCTTCTAAATAAACTCACAAATCGCTGCGCGTGGCGCTGACGGTTTTTATAAATAAATAAATAACCGTTTAAAAATAAATAAATTTATGCAAACCGGCACACCTGATGACGACCGTTTGTGTTATGGTCGAAACGTCGTGATAATTTTTATTGTTTTATATATTTTTTATTATTTTATTGTTTCCCTTCAACGTGACTTTACCGAAAGAGCTAAGAATATGAATTACTGCAGTCACGAAAGCTTTAAATCAAAGAGTCCATCTATGTTCTCGGTTCTTTCGGTAAAGTCACGTAGAAGGGAAACAATAAAATAATATTCTTTTACAATAAAATAACAATAAAATAATAATAAAATAATATTTTCTTTATTTTTCCCTTCTACGTGACTTTACCAAAAGAACCAAGAATATGAATCCCTGCAGTCACGAAAGCTTTAAATCAAAGAGTCCATCTATGTTCGGAAAAGAGGAGGGGGGGAGACGAAAATAATGGATGCGGTCTGAAAGCCACCGTAAGCGTGAACAATCAATTAAGACCCGAAATGGTTGATCAAATCCTTCCAATGATTGTTTTATTGCCAGAAAGGGTAAAACCTACTCTTATTTTTTATACTTTGATACTGGCAAAAAAGGTCCCATGATAGATGAACATCGATGGGGCGGGGGGGGGTAAC